CTCATGTTTGAGTCGGTGATGCCATCCAACCATCTCATCCTCTGTCATCCTCTTCTCCTCCTGCTTTCTATCTTTCCCAGCAACAGGGTCTTTTCCAGTGAATCAGCTCTTCTCATCAGGTGGTCAAAGTATTGAAGCTTCAGTAAATTAAACCCATTTACTGAGATCTTAATTTCAGTAATTATACTTTTACTTCTACGATTTCTAACCGGCTCTTTTAAAAACTTCCTATATAATATTTTTATAATATAAAAATGGTATGATATAAAATATTTATATATTTTATGCATCTGGTTTTCAGTTTTTAGACATAATTTTATGTGGTTTGAGTATTTTGTTGTTGTTGTTTAGTCGCTGAGTCATGTCCGACTCTGCAACCCCATGGGCTGAGGCCACCAGGCTCCTCTGTCCATGGGATTCTCCAGGCAAGAACACTGCAGTGGGTTGTCATCTTGAGCTTATTAAGTGCAGTTGTTTTGGAGCCTCAGCGGGCCTCTCCTGTGATCTGTTTCTGCTGTTTCTTATGCATATTGCTGCATCCTGTGCCTGGCTACCTCTGAGGGTGTAGAGACTTGATAAATGGTTTGCAGAAATATTTCGAAGCCTGGGAGGATGAAATCCCTCTGGGGGAAGATCGGTGTTCACTGCTATCAGTTACATGGGCGTGCTAGCAATCTGGGATCCCCTTTAAGTGATTTCAGGATTTGGGTGTCTCTGGGCCCCCAGGGGAAGCAGAACTGAGCTGCAGGGCCTCATCCTTATTCTCCTGGTGCAGTCTTCGGAGTCCCCATCAGTAACGGGGGCTGCATATCCCTCCCTCCTGCGGTCCTGGACTCCCAGGCCTCCCCCCAGCCTGGCCCATCCTCTCAGCCCCTTTCAGAATCAGTAAGTTCCCAGGGAAAAAGCGACCCAAGCCACCTCCTCTTTCTGAGCTTGTTTTCTTTCAGATCTTGAAGTCAAAATTCTCTGCTACCTTGTCAGCTCTCTAGGGCCCTCAGCTTTAAAAAATACATGTGGCCTACAGCTTCCAGCTGCTCTCATGGGCTGGGCAGGGGGTTGGGGCGCAGTCTGATCACTGGAGGTGCATGGTGGGGTGTGCCTTTCAGACGGGTGAAACAAAGGCCTATTTGAATGCTTGCGGTACTGACCCAGCAGAGGGGGAAACCCCAATACGAGATTGAAGGGGGTGTTGTCACAGGCAACGGGGATGGGATCTTGAGATAGGACTCAGCGTGGACAGAGCCTGGCAGCTTCGTTTTGTGGAGGCTCAGGGCCGAGGTGGCGTGAGGACAGTCGTCCCGCCAGGACCCCTTGGCCTGCTCCCAGGGTGGAGGCAGGTGGCCTTACTTCCTGCAGACATCTCTCTCGGGGAGGAAGTCGTGTCTGTCCAGTATGGACCGCGGGCTCTTCTTCCTCGCTAAGGAAGCGCCGGTCGGCTGTGCCCAGGGGCCCAGGGGCCGAGCAGGAGAGGAAGGGGGTACAGAGAAGCGGGGCGGGACCCAGCACTGCTCAGCCTCTCCACCGTCGTCGCTGACAGCCTCCAGCCTATGACGTCCTGCCGGAGAGCATCGTTTCCATGCCCAGACCCCACTGTCCCCCAGGACAGATTGATCTTGTCTCTCCTGGGCCCCCGGCCTGACCACAGCTCCCCGCTGCCCATGGGATCAAGTTTGAGACATTCAACTGGGCACCTGAGATCCTGAGGCCTCTGGAGCTACCACTGTACTTTCTCACGTTGGCACCCCTGTCGGCAGCTGGGGCCGGAGCTGACCCTGATATGGGGGAAGGGACCACTGGGAGACAGAAGGCAGCTTTCCAGCAGAATCTTTATTCAAAAGGCTGTTCTGTCCCCTCCCCAGCACCAAGGCAGGGAGGGGTGTGTGTGTGTGTGAGTGTGCATATGTGTGGGCATGAGGCTGCATCCAGGCCTGGCCCTCCTTGCCTGAAAACAGGGGCATGAAAGACCCTCCCCACAGCATCTCCAAAGATCCCCAATGTGCCCCAAAGATGTGCCTGAAGCAGCAAAACAGTGACGTCAACCCAGTCCATCCCCCAACCTTCGCCTGGTCCTTTTGTCTGCTCTAGCCAGGGAGCTGGGTGGGGGTGCGGGGGGAGGTTTGGGGAGGAGGAGGGTGTATGCTGAGAGTCTGGACCTTGGAGTGGGGCTCAAGTCGGGTGGGCTGGCAGGAGAGTTTGTCTAGCACCTGAGCCGGAAACTCCCGAGCTGAGTTGGACCCGGCCAGAGGGCTGCCACTGCTCTGGGCCAGTCAGGAATGATGCGGTTGAAGACTGGGGGAAGGAGGCTCCAGCATGGCCCCCTTGTATTGGAGGCACAGAGCCCTATTTGCCCAGTAAGCGTGTCTGTCCCTGCTAGAGCACGGAGGCTGGTCCTCCACCGTGAACCCACCAGCCTGAGGGTGGCCCCACTGTCGGGGGGCTCTCTTCTGAGCGGGGCCCGGAAACCCGCTGACCAGCAGAGCCGCCCTCTGCCTGCGTCGTCCACAGGCACGGGTGGGGATGGCGCTGAGTCCCCAGCAACTGTCACTGACCCGCCCGCCACCCGCCAGTGCGCCCCTGGGCGGCTCTGTCCGCTTTCCCAGCTGGTTCTTGCCTTCTGAGAGACGGTCATCATCTGCCCTCTCGATCTGTCCTTGGCTCTGGGCCCTCTGAAGCTTTCTGGGGGGACCCTGTGTGATCAGCTGCCCCTAACGCCACCCCGGGCAGCTCCTCAACTGAGACCCCCCAGGCCCTGGGGGTCCACCCTCCCTGACAACAGATGTGAGCACAGCTGCCCCAGGGGACATGGTGAAACACGAAACTTCAGGACAGGGAAGAGTTGATGTGACACTCCTTTATTAAAACCTAAGGACATCTTTATAAAAACTACAGTATATAAAGACAAAAGCAGTGCAACAGCGGTCCGTGAAAAACACATTATTGTTATTACATTATATTTTATTATTATTAGGAATATTATTGGTTTTTGGTTTTCCCGGTTATCAGCTCTCAGAGAGACCCCATGCCTGTGCACATGAAACGGGGGTTTACAGAGAGAGACCAGTCTGTCTGTGCCCTTGTCTGGCTGGGGGCTAGGGGGTCCCGCCTGGTCAGGGGCACTGGGCCCCTCACCCTCGCCGTCCCCTCTTAGTTACTGCCCATCACCTAGGCTCTAACTGGTTAGCTGACCGTGACATAGCCCACTAGCTTTAACCCAGAAGATGGGAAGAGACAGGAAGGAACTGAGGTGAGAACCCGAGGTGAGGTTCCAAGAAGAGATGCTCTCGGGGTCACCAGTTCGGGTCCAGTTGCGGCCACGCCGGATTCCTGCAGGGGCCACGGCATCTGCAACCTTTGGTCACATGCGTGGGGACCCTCCAGGGGGCTCTCTGGCTCCGATGGGATCCTGCACATTTCAGAGAGCAGTTTAGGGCAATTCACAGGGCAGCTCACTGCACCAGTCCAGGGGCGGCTGTTCCCAGCGCTGTCTATAGAAATGGGGCCCCCTGGAGGCGGGCACCGCAGCAGCCCTGAATTTCCGTCTGTCAAGGGCACATGGGTCAGGGCTTTGATGGGAAGATAGGAGTTTTAGGTACAGTGTAACCGACAGTCAAAGCCGCTGACTCACCAAGCATCTATCTAGCACCAACTATCTGGTGGCATCTTGGACTGGAGGCTTGGGGGCGGGGCAAAGGGGGGGAAACAATGTCACCTCCAAGGTCACTTATTCTCCCTGTGGATTTGAGCATTCCTAACCATCAGGCACAGCAAGTCATTTCACAGGGGGTCCCAGCCTCTCCCTCAGACACAGCAGGTTCCCCCGACTTCTCCATCTGCAGCAGGAACTGTTCCCAGAGGGGGCTGGGTAAGTTTTTGTTGAACAGATGAATGAATGCATGTATGAGCAAAATGGATTTTCTAGAATCTTCGGTCTCACCTGACTGCTTAACTCAACTCTTGAGTTTTCAGGCCACGGGTCCCAAAGCTGCCTACGATCACTTAAGTACCATCTGGCGCTGCATCTATGCCCTCAAGAGGAGCTGGGGAGCTTGGAGTCAGCCACACGGTGTGGCATGGATTTTCCAGAGGGCACAGGACATCACCCCAGCCTGGTGGTGAGTTCTGGGGCTGCAGGTGGCAGTGACCAGACTGTCATCCAGTCGCTGGGTGGGTGGCTGCCCTGCCGACCTTTCAGAAGGCCACTGGGAACAGGCAGACACTACCCGCTTACTGCGCACTGGTGAGCAGTAAGATAAGAATCCCCCAAAGTTGCCGCAGAGAGAGGGGCCCACCCAGATGTCTCTGCAATGACACGGCTGCCCCGCAACATTGACAAGCAACGCTGCCAGCATCTCTGCTTGAGGCTGTAGGGTCAACTGGGGTCACTGCCGAATCTGCAAATTCACCTCTCAGGACAACCTAGGGCAAGACTCCTCCTATTGGTGGGGGCCAATCAGCCAAGCTGAAGAAATGAAAATAAACCAATAAACAATTTTTAAAAGCCTGAGACTCTGGGAAACTTGTCTTCTTTCACGGCATGACCTCCAGTAGACACACTAATGGGGTGTCAGAGGAGCCAGGAGACAGGGCTTGAGCAGGGATTGTGGTCTGGAGAGATAGCCAAGGGCTGGGACCCCAGCCTGGTGTGGGCAGGGGTCTGGGCATCTGCTGGGTGCGGGGAGATGGTGCCAGTTCTGGCCACACCCATAATCTCGGTGGAATGGCCTCAAGGGAGCCAGGAACCTTTTCTTAAGAAGACTGCCAACCCCACTCTTGGTCATGTTTTCCCTGATACCCCCAAGTCCTTTCCAGCCCGGGGGCTGAACTTGCCTGAAGGTTTTGGATGAAGAAGGGAAATGTCACCACCCCAGGAACACTAGCTGCCTACCTGCTATTTCACTATAAAGCATCAGAGAGACAGGCTCTACCTGCAGATTCATGTGTGTGTGCACGTGTGTGTGCACATGTGTGTGTGTGCGCGCGTGTGTGCACATGTGTGTGTGTGCACATGTGTGTGTGTGTGTGCACGTGTGAGTGTGTATGTGTTTTCAGTTAAGGCCTGTTTCCTATAGGTCCCGGTCAACATCAGATGTTGGGCTGGCATCTGGCAGTCCTGGGCCCTCCTGTATAGCAGGCTGCTCCTCGAGCTACAGGGGGATCTCTGAGGTTCAGGCAAGGGCAGAGAGACCCACAGATGCTACCAGGTATTGGTTCTGTGTAGAGATTCCAAAACGCACAATTACACTGAACACAGACAAGAAGGAAAGCATAAAACTGCTCGTGATAACACACAGTTCCCAGTGGGAAAAAGTCCTTATGAATACAAGGGGTTAAGGACAGATTCCTCAGTGGATATATTGCCATTCTTCTTTCTCTTCTTTTTTGCTTTTCTTTCCATATTATTATTATTATTGTTGTTATTTTTGCAAAGTATGTGGTAATAGCCAGAAGCTCACAGTAAAAAGTAAAAGTAGGCAGCTTGAAAAAACAGGTTTGGGAGTCACTAAAAAACACTAAGTCTGTAAATCTCTACTTGAACCTGTCACTACCCTGAGCATCATCTCAGGGGTCTTCTACTTACTGGCACATCTATCTGCCATGGTAGGATGGGACAGGTTTTTGCCAGGCCCATCTCCTGGGGGCTTTGAGGACCTCTGGACACTGGGAGGGACTGAACCGCATGCCTGCCTTTCAGATGGGCATTCACACCACCCACACAGCCCTCACCCCTCGATCACTCCAGCCACGGCCCCCACCCCACACACTGGACAGGTGAACCTCAAAGAGGTGAAGTGACTTGCCCAAGACCACCCAGTGGAGAAGGGGCAGGGCTGTGGGTCCCCACGCTCTGTCCTCTGCATCCCAGGCTGCCCCGTTGCTTTGCTAAGTCTGTGATGGTTGCTGAGCTGCATGGTGAGGGGCCACCTGCTTACAACAGAGTGTTCTGATCCCTCACCGGCTGCAACTGTAAACACCCAAGGGGTCATCAGTCCCTCCTGGAGAGACCTCTGTGGGGCCAGGAGCAGCGTCCTGCAAGTTCTCAGGCTGGGCGACACAATCAGGGGACCGTAGCCCTTGCTGGTCTCCGTGACTGTGGCCCGGGCCCAGCGTTCGTGGCAGGCAGGCAGGGCCACCAGCTCCCTCTTGGCAGAGGAAGGGTCTCCGTGTGAACAGCTGCACGAGCTGCATCTGGAACCTCAGGAAGCTGGAGATGCAAGCCCCTTAAATACCTGGTCCAACCCCTTCCTTTTAGAGATGGGGCAAGGGACAGTAGAGAAGGCACGGGACTTGCCCGAGGTCACCCTGATCTTCCTACAGAGCTGATGTCAGAGTCTGGGCCTGTGCCCGACCCTCTCCCCCAGGCTGGGGTTTCTCTGACTCCCAGGGCTCTGTCCATGGGATGCAGGTGTGGGCTGATCCAGCTGCGCCGAATGGCTGCTGAGCAACCCTCTGTGGCAACAGCTGCTCCGCTTGGACAAGTCTCTGGGGCAGGTCCAGGGATGACTCAGCATCCAGGGTGAAGGAAGCAGTGCCGATCCCTAAGCAAGACCCCAGACAGAGATTCTCCAGCGTGGCCTATGCCAAATGGTATCCCTGGGCTCTGGCAGCACTGTCTGAGGAGACCAGACTCAAGCCATAGGTCTGGGTCTTCCTCAGCTTGCCCTTGTGACCTTGGGCCAGTCACCTGACACATCTGAGTCTCAGTATCCTAGTTCATGGAATGGGAGGAATCCCTTCTCCACGGGGTTGATGAGCCAGGCTGGATGCGGAATGCTTGATGCCCTTAAAATGTCCTTCTGCTTTATCAGAGGGTGGGTGTTATATCTGCCCAGCTTCAGGTGTCTCTCAGTGAACCACAGTGTCTGGGCTCTCACTTGCCTCTCTTTCCACCTTTCTTCTGCATCCCTGCCAACCTGACTTTCTTTTGGTTCCTTGAGATCATCAAGCCAATTGCTGCCTCGGGGTCTTTGCACTAGCTGTGCCCTCTGCCTGGAAAGTTCTTCTATCCTCAATGTCCATGGCTGGCTCTTGCTTATCATTCAGGTCTGGGCTGAACCTGCTCAGCAAGGCCTTCCCAGACTGGTCAAACTTAACAGGACCCTCATGAACACCGTTTTGATTGAATTCTTGGCTTAGGGCTCACTGCTATTACTACCTTCCTATTCACTGGTCATTTTTCCCCTGTCCTCTCCCCCAGCTAGGGCACCAGTACCACGAGGCTGCCTGCTCTCTGCCACATCTGATGGATGGAGGGTCCGTTGGAGACACTGGGTCTAGATGAGTAAAGGTACTTGGGCAGAGGAGCAGGGACCCACCCAGCTGGGTGCTGGGGGAGATTCTGGCATCGCTAATACCAGTGGAATGAGGGTGTCTACACTGCCAGGGTGGCCTTCAGGGATTTATGTGATCATTTCCCAGATCATGCTCTTCTATGCATGCGCCCAGGGGCAGTGGGGTGGATGGCGGTGATGGTGAACTCAGTGGACAGATAATATGAACATCCAGGTTTGCATGGAAGTCTTGCCTTAAATGGGAAGGGCTTCTAGAACTTTCCCTCCTCAGTTTCCAGAGTGCTCATCACTCTGTCCAGCAAAGATCTGTGTGTCTGTTTCTTCCTTCTGGGGGCAAGGAGGAGGCCTCTCTGACTCATCTCCTTTCCAGATTGCTGCCCAGCAAGGGGCCTGGTATACAGTAGGTGCTTAAACAGAATGTGCCGTAAGAGGGTCCTGGGGCAGCAGTGGTGGAAAGCTTGGGACAATGGCCCATCCACCAAGTCACTGGGGAGATGTTCCAGGGACTGTACTGGGGGCCCTGGGCTGGGGAGCTTTGACTTTGGGTTCTTAGACCTCTGAGGTCAAGCTGAGCACTGGTCTCCTCCTGGCTGTGAGACCCAGGCCATTTCTGCAGGGCGTTCATCCTACTCACTTCCCAAGTGATGAGAGTGGGTGTGTGTGAAGATAGTCAACCTACTGCCTGCCCCGTAAATGGCCTGAGATGTGTCTCTCATTATCACTGTCATGACGGGGAAAAACTTCCATATGAACGCATCCCCACTGGCATTTCTGCATCCCAACCACCCCAGGAGGATGTGCCACACAGCACGCCCAGTGGGGCTGCACCCGATGCTTGCCAACTCCATCTGGCTCACAGCTGCCAGCAGGAGCTGGCCGGGACTCCCGCCACAAGGGGACCCAGGTCCATCAGAGAACTTGGGGGACCCTGATAAAACCGATCGAACAAAAAGACACCCCTAATCATACACACGCACACACACTCACGCACACTCACATTCAAAATTCTGACACGGATAGGCCCACAGGCCACTACTGGAGGGAGCAGGGGAAGGGAACCACGGGTAGGATGCACAGGCCTGAATCCTTCTGCTTGACCTGGCCTGAGCAGCCATGTCGGTCATCCTGAGTCTGCAATGGTGCCACCTCTCAGAAGCCACCAGCCCAAAGTGGGACTATTGCTCGCAGATGGGTGGCTCAGAAGCCCCTTCCTGCATGCTGGCCTCCCACCGCTGTTTGCTCCTAATCTCAGAAGTCCAAGGAAGGGGGTTCGGGCACAGGTAGCATTTTCTCCTCCACCACCGCCACGGCCGTCTTGGCTCTCCCTGGCGTCTTGAAGTTGTTCTTCTTGGAGGCTGAGCCAGGTGCTTTGGGTCTCACCTCCCCCATCCTGAGGCACGGCAAAAGGGTTTTCTAGGAAAGCAGAAGGGAACAAAATATCACATGGTGTCTGCTCCATGGGGACATTTCTGTCTGACCTCAGTGACAGGAGAAGCCAGGTTTTTCTCTGCACACATGCCATCTTTGTCTCCTAGACACAGAATTGTTTGACTTTAAGGCTGGAAGCAAGGAAAGCAAGTCTGCCATCACTATGGTTCCATACAGCATTACTGCCTCTGAGTGAGGGAAGTTGCTCAGTCGTGTCTGACTCTTTGCGACCCCATGGACTGTAGCCTCCAGGCTCCTCTGTCCGTGGAATTTTCCTGGCAAGGATACTGGAGTAGGTTGCCATTTCTTTCTCCAGGGCATCTTCCCCATCTAGCAATTGAACCCAGGTCTCCCACACTGCAGGCAGACTCTTACCATCTGAGTCACCAGGGAAGCCTCTGGCCTAAGCAATAAGATAAGAAAAAAGCATAAAGGGTCGAGAATGAAAGAGAAAAATCCTAATTACCATTATCAGCAAATCATGTACATAAAAAACCCAATAGAATCAACAAGCTAATTATTAGAACACAGGGTGCAGATATAAAGATAAAACTTTCAGTCTGTAAGACATCAGATCAACTTACAAAAACCAATAGTGTTTTTTTGCCTCAGTGATTACCAGGGTTATCATAATGTCTTGGCTTATGACAGAGCCAGTTAATACTTATAATTTTCAATACTGTTCCCCTTTCACCCTCAAAAGTACTCTACTTTGGACATTAACCCATATGGTCACCCTTGTTATAACAAATAGAAGATATTAAGAACAGATCCCGATAACACCCATAATAAAAATAAAAGAAAACACTACGAATCTTGGAGTCACACCACTGAATATAACCGTATCATACAAAGCCACGGAGAGGAAACCAGAACACTACTGGTACACATGGGATAAGATCAGGAGTGTAAACATCAGCCCCTGGGGGCACTTACAGCTTTGACTGGCAGAGGTGAATTGCCATCGTCCTTTCTCTCATGGAGATCACCTCCAAATAAGGATAACGAGGAATAAAAACACAAACTCCGTCTGTGGCAGGCACAGTAAACCCCCAGTTCTATATCCATGTATAGGAGCAATGACCCAGTCACAAATATTCACCTTCCCATACTCCCTTGCAGACCAGGGTGGTCACATGACCCACTCTGGCCAATGCCATGTAAGCTGTAGTCTATCGGGAAGGCAACATGGATTCAGAGAAGAGCATAAGAATGAAAGACCTTCACTAATGTGGGCGGAGTGGGAAGGGAAGCAAGGAGAAACCTGGTTCTGGTGACAGTCCCAGACGGTCTACCGCCACACCACTATAGCTGGGTTTCTGCTACGTGCATCTGATTGGACAGCAAGGAGATCAAACCAGTCCATCCTAAAGGAAATCAACCCTGAATATTCACTGGAAGGATTGATACTGAAGTTGAAGCTCTATTACTTTGACCACTTAATATGAAGGACTGACTCACTGGGAAAGACCCCGACGCTGGAGAAGATTGACAGCAGGAGAAGAGGGTGACAGAGAATGAGATGGTTAGATAGCATCATCAACTCAACAGACATGAGTTTGAGCAAAATCCCAGAGATACTGAAGGACAGGGAAGCCTGGCAAGCTGCAGTTCACGAGGTCACAAAGTGTCAGATATGACTTAGCAAGTGAACAACAGATAAACCATTTTCGATCAAGCTCTAGTGTGTGTTCCAGGGTCAAGGGTGTGGAGTTGATGGAAGGGCTCTGACTGAGCCAGTAAAGCCCATGTTTCCAGAGTGACTGATGCTCGGAAGGGCAGAACCAACACCCCGGTATGCATCACTGGGCTCTGGGTGAGAAAGTCTGTGGAGGTGTCTCTCCTACGTCACAAAACTGAGCCAGGTCCCCCATCACCTGCTTTATCTTTCTCCCTAGACTTATCTCAATCCAGGACACCAGATATTTTACTTACTGGTCTAGCTTATCATTTGTCTCTCCCAACTAGATAATAAGCTACATGAGGGTCATGGCAGTGCTGTTCTGTGTCCATTTTTGTATTGCCAGGATCTGGAACAGTAACTGGCACACTTTGCTGAATGAATGAATGAATGAATGAAGAAAGAATTTAAGGCCCAGATGAACCAGATTTTAAATATAAAGTCAGCAGAAAAACGTTTAAAACACATTTTTTAAAATTGTAGCTCACATGAGCCCTTCTTGCATAAATTAATAGAGGATACTCATAGGATTTCACAGGCTAGCAAGGTAATGCTCAAAATCATTCAAGCTAGGCTTCGATAGTATGTGAACCAAGAACTTCCAGATATACAAGCTGGGTTTAGAAAAGGCAGAAGAACCAAAGATCAAATTGCCAACATCCACTGGATCATAGAAAAAGCAAGGGAATTCCAGAAAAACATCTACTGCTTCATTGACTATGCCAAAGCCTTTGACTGTATGGATCACAACAATCTGTGGGAAATTCTTAAAAATATGGGACTACCAGACCACCTTACTTGCCTCCTGAGAAACCTGTATGCAGGTCAAGAAGCAACAGTTAGAACTGAACATGGAACAACAAACTGGTTCAAAATTGGAAAGGGAGTAGGTTAAGGCTGTATGTTGTCACCCTGCTTAAATAACTTTGATGCAAAATGCCAGGCTGGATGAAGCCCAAACTGGAATCAAGACCGCTAAGAGAAATATCATTAACTTCAAATATGCAGATGACACCACCCTAATGACAGAAAGGGAAGAGGAACTAAAGAGCCTCTTGATAAAGTTGAAAGAGGAGAGTGAAAAAGCTGGCTTAAAACTCAACATTCAAAAGATTAAGATCATGGCATCCTGTCCCATCACTTCATGGCAAATAGATGGGGAAACAATGGAAACAGTGACAGACTTTATTTTCTTGGGCTTCAAAATCATTGTGGATGGTGACTGCAGCCACGAAATTAAAAGATGCTTGCTCCTTGCAGGAAAAGCTATGACAAACATAGACAGCATGTTAAAAAAAGCAGAGACGTCACTTTGCCGACAAAGGTCCATATAGACAAAGCTATGGTTTTTCCGGTAGTCATGTACAGATGTGAGAAAGAAAGTGAAGTCGCTCAGTCATGTCCGACTCTTTTCAACCCCATGGACTGTAACCTACCAGGCTCCTCTGTCCATGGGATTCTCCAGGCAAGAGTACTGGAGTGGGTTGCCATTTCCTTCTCCAGGGGATCTCCCTGACCCAGGGACTGCACTGCAGGCAGATGCTTTACCGTCTGAGCCACCAGGAAGCCTGATGTGAGGGTGGACCATAAAGAAGGCTGAGCGCTGAAGACCTGATGCTTTTGAACTGTGTGCTGGAGAAGACTCTCGAGAGTCCCTTGGACTGCAAGGAGATCCAACCAGTCCATCCTAAAGGAGATCAACACTGAATATTCATTGGAAGGACTGATGCTGAAACTGAAGTTCCAATATTCTGGCCACCTGATGTGAAGAACCCCTGATGCTGGGAAAGGTTGAGGGCAGGAGGAGAAGGGAGCGACAGAGGATGAGATGGTTGGATGGCATCACCGACTCAATGGACATGAGTTTGAGCAAGCTCCAGGAGATAATGAAGGACAGGGAAGCCTTGTGTAATGCAGTCCATGGGGTTGAAAAGAGCTGGACACGACTGAGCGACTGAACAACAACGATTAGGATAACCAAGAGTAAGCAGAGTAACTCTGGCAAGGACAATCTAATTAGCTGTAGGACCATGTCTGAAACTAATGTATTGTGACTGTTATAAAAAAAGAACAAAAGAGATAACAGAGAACTGATATAAACTATAGGAGGGAGGGTGGAGGTCAGAAGGAGGGAGGTAATATATGTAAACTGTCTTCTGTGTTTATAGCTAGAAGTCCAGAAAATCGTTTAGAGATGGAAATAATATTAGAGGTACAAAGGCAAATGGAAAAACTAATATAATCAGCTAAAATCATTTGATGGAAGAGGGAGAAGGAGAGGGGAAAGTAGAAATATTCTAATTTGGGCATCACTCATAGTAGGGAGAAAATAAACATTGTCTAAAGAAACAGAGGATTAAGGGTATCATATGACAGCATAATTATGAAGATAACTATGGGATGAAAAACACAGTCTTCCAAATTGTCAGAAGACATATACACAAAAAATAAAACAAAGAAAACAGAGAGCATATGGTGAAAATTGACAACCCCCACAAAAGCTATAAAAGCAGAAAGCATATCATAAACTATGATGACAGAACTAAGACTAAATGTAGCTGTCTTATTAGTAAATGTTAATGAGCCACACACACTTGCTAAGAAAAAAAGACTGAGGCTGGATTACAAACAAAATTCACTGCAGGTAGAACGATTCGGAAAGGTTTCCTATAATAGGATGGGTAGATAGATGATGAAAAGGTTTGGGAGACGGATGGTTGTGATGGTTGTACAACAGTGTGAACGTACTCAATGCCTGTGAAAAGTACAGTGGTTAAAATGGCAAATTCTGTTGTGTGTTTTGCCATAATTACACAAAAGAGTGGGCAGAGAGAAAACGCAAACCAAGAATGACCACTGGGTTCCCAGAGCACCTCTGGCCCCTCTTGCTCTTCCACATCCACAGCCAGTCCATCAGTAAAGCCTGCACGTGCAGCCATCAACCTCGCCCTTCCTGCCTCCTCCGTCGCTCCTGCCGTGGCCTCCTCAGAGCCCAGCCCTTCTGTCTTGCCCCCATACAGCAGCCAGAGGGATCCAGTGAAAATCTACGGCATGTCGCGTCATGGCACCCCCTGCTCCAGACCCTCACTGGCTCCCATCCCACTCAGAGGAGAAGCCGAAGACGTCCCTCTTTGTTCGTTCTGCTGCAGCCCTGACGGCTGATTCTACATGCCAACCACTGTGCCATGGGGTTGTTGCTGTTGTTCAGTTGCTCAGCTGGGTCTGACTCTTTGCGACCCCATGGACTGCAGCAAGTCAGGCTCCCCAGTCCTTCACTATCTCCCGGAGCTTGCTCAAATTCATG